TAGAGAAGGTGCATGGAATTCCTCTAGGGAAAATGAGAACTATGCCTGCCCATCAGAGGCTCTCTCTAGCCTTGGAACATTACCAACGCTGCATAACAGAGCATGCCTGCCCATCAGAGGCTCTCTCTAGTTTTGGAACACTACCAACGCTGCATAACAGAGCAGCCACTATCTGCCACAACTCAGCCCTATCCCAACTCTTCAGCTGTGTCTTTGACATCTGCCTAGAGTGTCTTTCCTACTTTACCCACGTGGTACACCTACTCAATCAGGCACCAACCTTCCAGCATTTCACCTTCAGCAAGTCTTGGTCTTACTTGGAAGATTTGCATGTGTTTCGTGACAGACGCATCCTAAAGTGACCCTGATGAATGACTCTTGTATATTCTCAGTTACCTTGGTTTAGACACAACCTGTGACTTGCTTCTAGCCAATTAAAAATGATAATGGAGAGAGGATGCCACTGCTTTGATGAGGTCCCTTTTCGTGTCGAGGATACTGGGGTGGCATTCTCATAATTGTGTTGTGTTCTGGAAAACATCATATTAAACCAATTAACCAGAGTTGAATTGTGAGCAGCTTCTTGGCAGAATTGTGAGCAGCTTCTTGCCAAGAGTAGGGTCCTCAGTCCTATGACCACAAGCAGTGGATTCTGCCATCAACTTCCTGAGCATGGAAGCAGCTCGTCTTTCCCCAGTGAAGAGGCCAGGGGAAAGCTAGCAGCCTCCTATAATCCTGGGCAGAGAAGCCAATTCAGCCAGTCCCAGATTCCTAACCAAAGGAAAATATACTAAGATAAATGAGTATTGCTTAAAGTATCCTGTGGATAACGATTGGTTATACAGCAGTGGTGAATGGATAAGCTGTTACACACATGACCAGACCTGTGTGAGTGTGTGTGCCTGTGTGTGTGTCTGTATGTGAGTATGTGTGTGTATGTGTGTGTAACTCTGTGTGTGAACGGGTGTCTGAGTGTGTGTGTATCTGTAAGAGTGTGAGTGTATGTGTGAACGCGTGTCTGTGTGTGTGAACATGTGTCTGTGTGTGTGAACATGTGTCTGTGTGTGTATGTGAGTGTGTATGTTAATGTGTGTCTGAGTGTGTGTGCTTGTGTGTGCCTCTGTGTGTATATGTGAGTGTATGTGTCTGTAACTCTCTGTGTGAAGGAGTGTCTGTGAACATGTATCTGTGTGTGTGAACGTGTGTGTCTGTGTGTGTGAACGTGTCTGTGAGTGTGTGTTTGTATGTGTGTGTGTGATGCATGCGTGCAAGTGTTCCATCACACATCATAGCGCAGCCTTCAGTGCTCACCTGCCTACTTCCCTTGAGACAGGATTTGCTTACCACTCTGTGTTAGCCAGGCCCCAAAAGCTTCTTAAGAGTCTCCTCTTTCTGCCTCTCATCTTCCTTCCCTATGGGATGCACTGGCATCGAAAATGCTTGAGTTATTGCATCCAGGTTTTACAGCTTTTACATGGGTTCTGGGGATTTGAACTCAGGTCATCAGACCTGTGGGGTAAGCATTTTACTCACTGGGACATCTCCACTGGCCCCATGATCATTTCTTATGTGCCATTCAACTAGCTGGGAAGCATAGGAACGAGGACTTGAGTTCTGCTCTTTTAGCTTTGCATAGTTTCTGACATGTAGTAGGTACTAAATATTTAGTGGATGAAAAAAGAAGTATGATTTTTTTAAGGTCAAGAGGAAAGACTCATTTTAGAATGCTGAAACTCCATTTCCTGTGACCTTCATGGAAAGTCAGTGAGTATCAAATTTTTCTAAGGAACAAAGAAGTACCGGAGAGCAAGCATTCTTCTGTAACAGCAACGGAGTCTGACACAATTTGCCAAGTACTTGGGCACACTGGGCCTGGTGACTGTAATAACAGTGTCTTCTGGGTGCCTTTCACCATGGTCAAAGGCAAAGGCAAAAACCACAGAGCCAGCTAAAGGCAGCGACAATCATTAGCTGCTATTTGAAACCCAGAGGCAAAGAGACATTAAGTGCCTGGAACCAGTCAGAGAAAGGCATCAGTCAGCCGTGGAAGCAAGGACAGAATTCCAAATCCATATGAACTGAGAACCTCCATCCCTCGTCTTTCTCCCTTCCCCACCCCTTCCTTCTCTGTCATCAAAACAAAATATAGTTCTTGGGCCGTGGAGATAGCTCATTAAATAAAGGCATTTGCTGCCAAGAATGACGATCTGAGATTGATCCTTAGGATCCTCAGGGCAAGAGGAGAGAACTAATTCCTGCAGGTTGTCCTCTGACCTCCATCCACACAGACAGACAGACAGACAGACAGCCTGACTCACACACACACACACACACACACACACACACAACTTAATGAAAGAAATAATTCTTGGCGCTAGGAAGGCCTACAGATCACCACTTCCGAGTCTCTCACACTATAAATGGGGAGACTGAGGCATCGATGAATGGAGGAATTGGCCAACAGTAGATGCTGGTGCCCAAGTACAGCATTGATAACCAGAATCTCCCTAAGAAATAAAAAGTTTACCCAAGGATTAGTGAAGGAAGAAGAAAATTATATGGAAAGTCTGGTACCTCACTTTTTAAAAATACAGGATCTCATGTGTTCCAGGCTGGCCTTGAACCCACAATGTAGCTAATGTTCTTTATGCTTTCACTTTCTGAGGTTTGGGATTATAGGTTTTCACTACCATACCTGGTTTGCATGGTGCTGGGGATCAAACCCAGGGCTTTGTGCATGGCAGGCAAGTGCTGTACCAATGGAGTACATCCTCCAAGTGGTATAAGTCTGTAGCCAGCCTGTGCTAATTGCAAGCATGTGTTTGCTCCGTTAGCTTTCTAACTACTCTCTTTTCAGGTCTCTGTTTTTAGCTTTTTTTTTTTTTTTTTTTTGGTTTTTCGAGACAGGATTTCTCTGTGTTGTTTTGGAGGCTATCGGACCAGCCCAGCCTCGAACTCAGAGATTCGCCTGACTCTGCCTCCCGAGTGCTGGCATTAAAGGCGTGCACCACCACCACCGGCTTTTTAGCTATTTTTTAATAGGTAAAGAAACCTAGACTGGGAGAGATGATGTGATTTCTCCAAGGTTATATACTCAGGCATCACTTTCCTAACTGGCTACAGTGCTGTTTGTGGTTGTGGTGTGAAATGAATGGGGAGCTGAGGCTTCCAGAAGGGGCTCCTGGCTGTGAAGCAGGTCTGGGGTCCTCACTTTACAATTCCCAATGCTTCTCTTCAGCCACATCGCAGTCACACCTGATGTCCACAGTACAACACATCCTGGAGGATACGGCCACCAAGGTGTGGCGTTCCCAGAACGCGTCTAGTCTAGTACAGCAGAGGCACTAAGAGCCATAGAGGGGTTGCAGCAATGGGCGCCCATTGATCCTTGGAGACCCTGAACATCGGAGCCTTGCTGGGGTGGGAGTTAGTGTCCTGGTGTAGCCAGACGATAATCCCCTGGTTAAGAGAGCTCATACCCACCTAGTGGCAGTGGGATCAGCATGCCTGATAAGGTCACTTTCCCTCCTCTGTCTCCTTCCAGCTCACAAATTGGCTCCCTGGGATTTATTTTTGCTATCATCATAGTTTGCTATTTCCCCCAAATCTGTGTAAGAGGAATCGGCACCGGTTCTGTCTGTCATGCTACTACCAAGCACAGGGAGGCACGGGGAGTGCACAGACCTCAGAGAGCTCACTTTCAGCCTGGACACCAGGTTCCTCATCCATAGAGTCAGGGTGAGCAGTAACGATATTCATTCCACAAGACGGGCAAGAACAAAGAAGAGTAATGTCTGGGTGGCACAGAGCCTTCCGTATCCATTCAAGATAGTGTCTGTTTACCTACTAATCAAAGAGCTTGAACAGGCACCATTGGCTATGGGGATGGTGGACAAGCCCCATTATGTCAGTAAGACCAAGGCCAGAGAGAGGGGGTAAAGAATCACTCAGTATGGAGGAACACCTCTCATGTGCTTGCCCTTGGGCTGATAAAAGAGTTGTGTTCCCATGTGGAAAGAACTTTAACTGAGATGGATTCCGGGCATTTTGGAGCTGACTTTGCATACATCAGTACAATCAATGCTTGCAATAAAACTGATGACAGCATCATTGGCCTGACATTACAGATAAGGGAACTCGAGTGAGAAGGTTCTCTGTGGTTTGCTCAAGGTCACAAAGGTAATAAAGAGCAGAAATCTGAAGTTGAACGTCAACTTGGTGCTGACACCTTTCTTACATGCAAGTCACATGAGTCTCTGTGACTATGAACCAGACTCTTGGCAGATATTATCTGAGCCAAGATAAATACCTGTCTCTCTCCCGTCTTCTGCTGCTTCAGGTGCTTTCTCTTTTTTCCTCTCCTCTCTCTTATCGTGCTGCACTTCCATCAATACTGCCGGTGCTATCTACCAATCACAATGGAGACGGTTTCCCTTTCGGTGCTGACATCATCCATTCCTACTGACATTTGCAGATGAGACAGGCTGTGGTCCTGCAGCACCAGTGATCGCTCCGGTGCTTACGGTCCTTTCAGCCAGTAGTCTTCATGCCGGAAAGATCTCCTCGCGACACCCAGCACCAGATAGCTTTGAGCCCCCATGTCCAAGCTGAGAACCCCAGAGGCCTCCCAAATCCTCCCCATGGAGATCTCTTTCAATGATGCTTTCCTGAATAAACTCTACTGTCTTTCTATCACAAACTGCCAGCTTACCAACCAGGACTTATTAGTGCATGGGTTGTTATTAACCTCTGAGTTCTCACCTCAAACTCCCTAAAGAAAACATTCCCATTCATGGGAGAAATGCAATCCTTGACTGGTCCCAGCATGACTGGTCCCAGCAGGAATGCTGAAACAATTTGACGTCTCAGAACCAAACATCTGGGAGACTTCACACCATGGAGACTGAAAGTCAGAGTTTGGGGGTGGATCTCTCAGGGTTCAAAGTCTAACTCCCCTGTTTCTGAATGTCCTTGATATTCTACCAGGAAGATGACAACAGTGGTGATATATTTCCTTTACTAGCTTGTAGAGGGAGTGAAGAAAACATATACATGTTTAAACAGTGCCATTCAAAAAATACCAGCTACGGGTTTCTATATGTCCCACAGGAAATGCATCTCAAATTAATCTCTATCACATTCTAAGGAGACATTTCAGTGAATTTGAGGGAAGGAGAGAGAGGCTCCAAATAACTATGAAATAGAAAAGGACTTTTAAAGAGTGCAAGAGAGAGGAGGAGGAGAGAGAAGGAAGTAATGTGTCATACGTTTCATTCCATGCATGAAATGTGCAGGCTGTATTTGTGAAGACTGGGGTATCCAGAATCTAAAAAATGAACCCCATAGTCTCACAGTTTGAAAAGCTAGTTCCAAGCTGATGACACTATTTAGGGTGGGGGGAAGGAGAGGATGTTTAGAGATTTGGGAGGTGGGGCCCAGTTGTCAGAAGCCGGTCACTGGAGACAGCTTTTGTTGTTGGAGGCAGGTCACTGGAGATAGCTTTTGGAGATAATTATTGCCCCTGGCTAATTCCTGTTCCACTTTACTTCCTGGGATGTAAATTATGGGGCCACAGTGTCACCACCATGATGGACTGAACATTCTGGAACCTTAACCACCATGATGGACTGAACATTCTGGAACCTTAAGCCAAAAAATAATAATAATAATACCCCACCACAACGTGTCTTTCCCAGATATTTTGGTGACAGTGATGCAAGAGTAACTAAAAGAGAGACAGACAACGACCAAAAATCCAGCTCAACAAAGAGTGTATCTCAGCACTTGTAAGTTGTGCTAAGCACAAAGCAAAACACTATTCCTACTCCTTCCTATTCCGTCTTTTCAGCTGCCTAAGTGAGTCCAACTTCCCAGAACCATCTGGACCAGAAAAGTTAGCTCGAGTTGATTGTCAACAACAATTAAAAGTGGCTTTGGTGCTGGGTATGGTGGCACTTTGAAGGTTGAAGCAGGGGGATCATGAGGTCAAGGTCAGCCTGAACTATATAGCAAGTTCCAGGATGGTCTGAGCTATGTGGTGGGATCTTGTCTCAGAGAGCCCAGGCTTGGGGCATAGCTCAGTAGTCGGAGATCTTATTCAGCATGTGTATGTGTTGGGTTCAGTTTCCTGCACTGGGGGGCAACAGTGGCTTCAGGAAAGAAACAAAGGGCTTCAAATGAAAGCAAATACTGTTTTAGCTCTGAAGAGGGCAGTATGCAGCCAAGGCCAAACAGGTACTCATGATTTCCTTCCAGGGCCTCAAGGCAGGAAAGCCCTCAGGAGCCCAGGCAGCTGGGGTTTCCAGGAGCTCATTTCTTGAAAGACAAACACATCTTCACACATGAAATAGGATTCTTGAGGTTCGAGCGCAGTTACACACTGCCTCTCAGAGGGACACAGTGCAAACTGACAGGAAGGCGGTTTCACAAGACGGACGGGAGGGCTCCCGTTTTCCTTTCCTGTGCTCGAGCTCTGGTCTGCTTGCTCAGATCCACCTCTATGAAGTTAAACAATAGCACAGCCTCCCAGATGGTGTCCGATGTTTGCAGAAGAAAGTGTTTCATTTTCTTCTAAGACTCCAAGCACAGAGGCTTCTGCTGCCTAAAGCAAAATATTCTTGAAAATATCCTCTGCACAGAAAGAAAATATGGGAGTGGAGATCTTAGCTCCTGGGATGCATTTATCAAACCAATCACAGCAATTATAATTAGAACACAAACGAACTGAACTCTAAGCATGAATTACATTTTCAGAAAACCTGAACTGTATGCAATTAAGCCCTGTGTGGTGGCATTTCTAGGTATGCCATTAATACATGAGGGGAGGGGCTGGAACAGATTCTTTTCTTAAATATCTCAGTCTGCCTGCATTAAAGGTTTCAACTAGAGTTGAAGAGGAGAAACAAGGATGCATAGCGTGAACCTGCAGAGCTGTCAGATGGGTGTCAAATGGTCACCCAAATGGCTACTTTAGACATCATCCTTTGACACCCTGTGAAATATGTTCACTGGGCACCAGCTCAACCCAGGTCTGTGTTAAGAGGACAGGGAGAGCTTCAGGGAAGGTGGAGCTCTAAGTCTTCACCTCCATTTTTGGAATGCATTAGACTACAGTGTTAGAAATCTTCCCATGGCTTCCTATTACTCAGAAAGATTAGTCTTCTGGAACACCTCTTTATATTTATTTACTTTTTATACACTTGTTTACTATGTGCTACGGGGTTGCCACACACACTGTAAAGGGCAGCTTGCAGAGGTTGACTCTCCCTTCATCATGTGGCTCCCAGGCGTGGGGATCAGATTGCCAGGCTTGGTGGCAGACACCTCTACACACTGAACCATCTTGGCAGCCCTGCCTTGACACTGCAACGTTTGTCTTTCATTTTACCTCGACTTGCATGGTCTTCCCCTTGCTAAACTATGACTCTTTAGGTCAGAGATTTCATCTCCTTATCCTGGGTCCCCAGCATCCGGCAGATGACCCAGTGTTAGAACAGGTGCTTGGAAAATGTTGAATGAAGAGTGACCAGTACAAGAGTTAAGTAAACAGTGAACAGGTCACTCACTCTTGGGCACCCAGCTCAAAGCCACTTCAGATAACCCTTCTCCCTTTCTGCTTCTCCCAGGTGGAGTCAGCCATGTCATTCCTGTGATGGTGATCTGGACAGCTTTGGGGAAAAGGCGGCTTTTCATAGAGCAGCTCAGGAGGGAGGAGAAGCACACGACAGTGGTGGTGACTGTGTGAGGCACTGTGGGTTTCCTTAGAACACACCCTTTCAGCAGAAGCCGGGCGTTCTTCCTGGGATCCTGCTTAGGGGCGTGGGTGGCGATGACAGACTTCAGACCTTGGCCTCTGGCCTCTTGCCATATAAAAAGCATGAAAAAGGACTGTATATAGAGTTGCCATGTAACCTTCCCCCAGTTCCCCAGTGTGGACATTTCTGGTAACAACAGCCCTTTGCTCTCCTCCATCCCAGAGACCACTAAGGCGGGGCCCAGGCTGCTCCCGCTGGCCGGCACCTGTGCTGCTTATATGCTTCTCTTGAGCAGTGCAGGTGACTGACAGTCGTCTGGCCACACACACCCACACCCACACACACTTAAACTTGTCGGCGCGTGTGCAAGCGGCAGGAACAACATTTTAAGACAGAAAAAGCGAAGCATGAAGCATCTAATAATTTAGAGGCCAGAAGTTGGCCATTTTTCCCAAGTGTGAATTGGCAAACCAATGGCTCCAAAGCGACCCTGGAGTTCAGCCGTGAGCGCCGGAGAGCACAGTTTTGGGGACCCCCCCATACCTTCACCCCGGGGCTGGGGAAGTCTTCGCAGGGCCCCCAGGGCGTCTCCTGCTGCTACCCCCACTCTCACCCCTTTCTTCCCTAGGGCCGGACTGTTTCACCCCGTCTCCAGGCAACAGCCAGGCGCGCCAGGAGGGACGTCATTTCCTGAAGAGCCCGCGGGGGGACGGGGCGGGGAGGGGGCGGGGCGAGGGGCGGGGCCAAGGCCCGGCTGGCGACGGCGGCGGCGTCGGTCGGAACTCGCTGGAAGACTCGGCCCGGAGCGGCTCAACAGTTCGCAAAGTCCGGGCCCTCGGGCGCGCGGCTCCGTGTGCGCCCGGGCGGCGCTGGGGCGCGGGGACCCCGGGCTGCTGCGTGCAGGCGGGCGGCCCGGGACATGCCCCGCACCCCCCGCCGGACGCCCGCGTGGCTCCCCTGGCCGCGACTGCTCGGGACCCCGGATCCACCTGCGCCCCAACTTCTGACTTTGGGGTCCCCCAGCCCTAGGGGAACGGGCAGCTCGGCTGGGGGGAGCCCCGGGCACGGTGTGACGGGGCGGGCGGCGCGGCTGTGCCCTCCGCCGCGGCCACGCGCGGTCCCCGCCACCTCCGTCATGTAGCCGCGGTCCTGCCCCCCCGGCCTCCAGCCGCAGCCTCCGCGACCTCCAGCCGCCAGCAACTCCGTGTGCCCGGCATCCCAGGTCTTCGCGTCCTCCCTCGGGATTGCAGCCGCCGTCTCTCCCACCCCCGGACTCCATCCCCCTCCATCGCCGCCTGAGCGCCCCCGGACCCCCGGCCGCGGCCCCTGCCGTCTCCCCGGGATCCGGGCCCCCGGCTCCTGCGCACCCTCCCTCCGCCCAACCCACCCTGCAGCCGTCGTCGCCACTCTCCGGGCCGACAGTCCAGACCGCAGTCGCCGTCTCCTGCGCGTCTCCCCCAGCCCGGACTCCAGCCGTGACCTCGGCGGGCCCGGGGATCCAGCTGTCGCGGCGCCGGCCGCAGGTGCAGGTGCAGCCGCCGCCGCCGCCGCCGCCCCGCGCCGCGCGCCCCGCCCGAGTGCGGCCGGGCCTCGGCGGGGAGATGAACGCGCAGCTGGACGGCCTGTCGGTGGGCTCGTCCTCCACCGGCTCGCTGGGCTCGGCGGCCGCGGCGGGCGGCGGCGGCGGGGGCGCGGGGCTGCGGCTGCTGTCTGCCAACGTGCGCCAGCTGCACCAGGCGCTCACGGCGCTGCTGAGCGAGCCCGAGCGCGAGCGGTTCACCCACTGCCTCAACGCGTACCACGCGCGCCGCAACGTCTTCGACCTGGTGCGCACCCTGCGCGTCCTGCTGGACAGCCCGGTCAAGCGGCGCCTGCTGCCCATGCTGCGACTGGTCATCCCGCGCTCCGACCAGCTGCTCTTCGACCAGTACACGGCCGAGGGCCTCTACCTGCCCGCCACCACCCCCTACAGGCAGCCCTCCTGGGCTGCTCCCGACGGCGCGGGGCCCGGGGAGGTGCGGCTCGTGAGCCTGCGGCGCGCCAAGGCCCACGAGGGCTTGGGCTTCAGCATCCGCGGGGGTTCGGAGCACGGCGTGGGGATCTACGTGTCGCTAGTGGAGCCGGGCTCCCTGGCAGAGAAGGAAGGGTTACGGGTCGGGGACCAGATTCTGCGCGTCAACGATAAATCACTAGCCCGGGTGACCCACGCGGAGGCTGTCAAGGTAGGGCTGTGGTCTGTGGGAGTGGTTAAGAGGACGGCACCGGCAGATTAGTGCAGCCTTTTCGGTTGCCCTGGGCTCTTGCCTCTGGTACCGAATCGCTGGACCCTTCTGGTCTCCATTGTGTTTTTGTTCCGCTCCCCTGCCCTGACTTTCAAAGAGGAATATCTAATTTGTGGCACAGATCGGTGTTGCAAGCAGAGAGGAAATGTTGATTCTTGCCCCGGGAGACCTAAAGGCCAAGGCACAGACAGTATCACATAAGCAAAGTGTGAAGAGGGTTGTGGAGTCTTAGAAGAAAGCCTGCTTGGCAGTGAGTTACAGATGGCCCTCCCCGCTGCCATGCTGCTTTTGCCTCTGAAGGAAAGTTGTGCTCCACTGCTGGTGACACAGGAGGAGGCGGGGTGACCACAGAGCAGGGGCTGACCCTGCTATTTGTAGGCTAGCCTGAGTACCCTGGAGCTAGCCAGACCAGAGAGGTGGCTCCCAACTTTGTTGCAGACGAGGCTGCTGCCTGAACATCCGAAATGAAGCCCACAGTCCCATGAAAGTGTGTGTGTGTGTGTGTGTGTGTGTGTGTGTGTGTGTGTGTGGGCGCGCACACACACACACGTGCTTGAGCATGGACGCATGTGTCAATTGAGAAAAACAACCTCACCACAACCAGCTAGTACGAATTTAATCCTGAGAGAGCATTCGTGCTTGCTAATCTCATCGCCAAGGGTGAGGGGACACCAGCCAGTTGGAGTATGAGATACAGCGTTTGGTCCCAGGGTGAACTCAAGGATCTTTCTCTCATAACATGTAACCCCAGCCCTACAGCTTCCTGCACATGAAGTGAGGCGTCTGAAGGAAAGGAATGACAGTTCACTCTCTGCTCTCTTCAGAGAAATGCTTCCCCCTGGTTTGGGTTGGCTTGTGAGCCCCTCCCACTCCGTTAACTAGCCTAACCTCACACAGTTGGCTGCTGGGAAACTCTTGGGCACCAAAAGTCCAGGGCTTGTGCACGGTTCAGTGGCTTGTGGTCAGCTGAGGTGAGCTGGCTGACTGTGTGTGCACCTTGGACACCCCCGTCTGTCTCTGACCTTTGCTCTGATCATTTGCTTCTCTACTCAAGGACCCCTTTCAGGAGGCCCCCAAGGTTTCTGAAAAATTCCTTCCCTTTCTGGAGGAAGCTTAATGACCTTTTATTATTCTGGGGGCTGGCAGATGCTCTTCATGGGTTCCCATTCTCTCAGGCTCCTCCCCAACATTCTCTCCTCTCTGTCTCACATCCCATTTATCTATAAAGAAATAGTCCATTAGTGTTGTCCTAACAGGTCCAAAGTTCCCAAAAGGATGAATTTATGCTCTAAAGAGACTTGATCCAACTGTCATTTATAAGCACGGATTCAGTTTTAGTGGCAATTTACAGAAACTGGGGTCACTTAATCATCACGAGATGAGAGCCTTGGGAAAGGCAGCCTGAGTCTGAGCAACGCAGGCTCTTCCTCCAGTTTGCACCTCAGATCTGTGTACCCTGGCATGGAAAAGGTCATGATCAGGACTGTGTGTCTCAACCTCCCTGAGTTCTCCTGGCGCTGCTGAGCTGTGGCTTGGGGCAGTACCCAGCATCGGCTCCTGCTAGATGTTTGCAGAGGGACACCTCAGCTCTCCAAGCACAGTTTAGGCAGCCTGCAGAGGAACACTGACCTGGGGTTGGATGGAACAGAACAGGGACTATCTGCATCACAGGGGCCTGTGTGAGCTGAGTTGACTTGGGCCTCTGTTTTCCTCCATGTGCTTCTGGCTAAGGGAGCCCCTCTTCTAACCAATGCGGGGCACATGATCTTGGGACCCTCCAGGGAACAAAGGGGACAGAATTTGCAGTGGTGATGTAGAACAGGACAGCCCTGCTCGGTTGCATCACGTGTAGATGAGCAGTTGGGTCCCCTGGAGAACTGTTGACACATCTGTGTAAAGTGTAAGACTGTAGCTCCTTCCCTGAGACCCAGGAGGGGCCCAGTCATTCCAGGAGACACACATTGTCGTCATCACCTGGGAATTTTGTACATGGGGCCTCTTGGTCACCCATGAGCTGTGGGACTCAGAGGGTCCCATGGTCAATGTGCACAGAGGCTAGCTGGGCTCCAGGCTTCATTCAGTGTCCCTGAATTGTCTATTTGTGTCTTGTGTCTGTCTCAGGACCCCCCATTCCATTTAGAAGAAGATGTCTTTTCAATTAAAAAAAAATCTGTTTTTCTTTTATGATGTCGAAGGAAGTGAACCTCAGAACTTTCCCAGAGGAGAGATTAATCGTTTGTATGCATATACATCATAAAGAGAATCCAATTAAAACAGAGTCTAGGAATCAAAGTGTTAGACGTCTGTGCTTCAGAGAGACACAGCTTTTAACAGAGCGATCAAGTAACTACAGTTTGGTCAGCTTCTCTTCCTAACTGATCCTCCATCCATTGATACCCAAAGCAATTTGCTGAGGATTTTACCCTTTGCCCAACAGGAAGTGACGGGTCTAGACTAGGCAAGCCACTTACTATGTAGAATTATCTTGAAATGTTTGAATTTTGAGAGGAAAAAAATCCATTTGGAATGAACAAGAGTCAAACTAGTAATTTTTTTTAAGTAGCTCTTTCAAAGGTCTCCAGTTAGACATGCTAGATCAGGCAGCCAATGAATCCATAGACTAGTTGCTACATTAAGTTCTGCTGCACACTTGACATGTGTGACCTTGAACAAGGCTCTGGTATTTTTCTGCTCCGGGCTAGATGAGTCTGGTGCTGTCCAAGGTCCTTCCCTGCTCTGGGAGTCTGATTTGCTTGGAATGTGCTACCCAGAAGGCATGTAGACCATCTGATCATCTGTGTTCTTGTTCTTTTGGAATTGCCTTCAATTAAGGCAGAAAGAATTGGCTGCGTATTGGGAGCAGGGAAGCTTGGCACTCCTGGGTAACTATGCTAAATCAGGAACTCCATGGGTTACACACTGTACAGATGGGAGCCCGCCCTCTGTGTCTCACTGTCCTCTCAGCCCAAGAACACCAGCCCTGGTGTGAGTCCAGAGTCAGTGGGAATTGCCAGTAGGATTGGGGCGCAAACAGCACCGTCCTTGGAAAATTCACTCACCCACCAGCGTTTTTAGTCCCATGTTGATATTGGTAACAGCACTTAGAATATCCAGGTTCTGTTTGGGGTGTGTGTTTAATAGAAATTTAACAGATTAATTGTAGTCCCAGCATTCCCATAGGTAAATCTGAGCGGCAAATTAGAATCTAAAATGTTCCAGACATTAAGAAGTGTTCGTGGGCCCTTCCAATTAATTAGAGCTATCACTTTTCCCTTCCTTTGCATAATAACCCAGGAGGAATCTGTCGACATTAATACAAGTCATTATATTTGGTTCAGAAGGTTCAAAATGACACATTTGTCATTTTACATTGTCATGGTTAGTGAGGGCTCTATACTTTTTTTTTTTTTTTTTTTGGTTTTACGAGACAAGGTCTCTCTGTATTGTTTTGGAGGCTGTCGGTCCAGCCTGGCCTCGAACTCACAAGAGATCCACCTGCCTCTGCCTCCCGAGTGCTGGGATTAAAGGCGTGTGCCACCACTGCCTGGCAACCTCTATATATTCTTAATGCTTCCAGATTTGCATC